CGAGATCAAACGTCTATATGTGTTAAATGTCTACTTGAAGATTCGTATTCTCTAAAAAATGAATATTTCGCGCGCGAAACGCTATCTTCGGATTATATCTTTTACAATTTGCTTCGCGTTACTTTGTCACAACAGTGTGTATGCGTTGTATGCGTGCGTGTGAGAATGTGTATAATTAGCAGAGTAAAATTCCAATATTATTTTGTCTACTATGAAACAGTATCACAAAAATAAACGTGACTTCGCACATTCGGATAAATAAGATGTCCCGCGCCACAAGCTCAATATTGTAATCGCCCTTCTTCAGCATTGCCGGTGGCAAAGCGTTATAGGCCCGTCATTTATCCCATATTGCGAGCGGAGATTGGAGAGCGAGCGTAATTTCAGGCGGACGGAATGAAGCGTGGCGTCGCGATAAAAAAGGGGTTCTCCGTAGTTTTGTGTCATGTTCGCGCCATGTTGTACATTAGGCGTGGGATATACGTCTCTCGCGCCGAGCCGGCAGTGAAGATGAAGAGAGAGACGGGCAGAGATTCGCAGGTAATTGTACGAGGCAATCACGTGCGCGTTACAGCGTTCTACTTAAAAAGCGTGACAAAACGCAGTAGTTCTTCTAACTCCGCGCGCGGAAGAGAAAGAAAGAGAGGCAGAAAGAGGGAACAAGAGACGCCGGAGCATAACTAAAATCTTCATTACCAAACCGAAAAAATTCCTCCCGACGCATCCATGACACAGAAAAAAAAAATCGTGAAAGATGTTTGGAGGGCGATGTGTTTCTCATCGTAATTCAAAAAGGGACAAATTTTTTGGAGTAACGTTTGGAAACACGTGTGTAAAACAAGTACCGCCTTGAGCTTCTTCGTGTCGATAAACGTCCTTCGATTCCCCGTCAATAGAGTCATTAGTCACGGCTCTCGGTGTACCCACCATATTCGTCTACCTGCGGCCCTCTACGGATGCCGATCTTTCCTGCCTGTGCGATGAATGCATTCCATGCGGCACTCGTTTTAAAGCTTGTTTGCTTTAAACCCTACTTCGTTAGAAGTTTTATCTTTTTCGAAAACAATTTCTATTTTTCGAAAATCATTGAACAAATATTGTGACCAATACACATTAATATGTATACCTAGTATGAATGTATATATATCCTAAAATATATGTCCTAGTAATTTTACACATCATTCTATACAATTATTATTATTTAACGAGACGCATTCTATATACATTCTATATATATATATATATATATATATATCGTAAAATATATTTTATATGTAGAGATGCATTGTTTTTAAAAATGCATTTAATTTTTTTAATTTTAGATTTTATATTCAAAAATGATTTTAATAGGTACTCGATATTAAATAATTAGCCTTTGGGAAAATGTCTATAAATGAAAAAGTTTCATTCCGAAAATATCGATATTCGACAAGACAGGTGAAACGGTTTTCCAGCGTTAAAGAGTCACAATGATGAATAATGCAAGTTGCAGCGCGTAACATTTTTGTGCACGAATTACTTCGTTAGTGGCGCCTGGTCGACGACGACGACGTTACCTGCCTGCCTCGCATGTCGATTTTACCGAAACCTGAAAAGGCAGAGACGACAAAGAGGCAGCGTGGTTTCTGTGCTGCAACCGGAACCCGAAAGGCAGGGAATTGGTAAGCGTCGCACGTACAAAACCTACGAAGGGACGTATCCTTGTATAATCGAATCCTACCGGGTAAATCGCGTGTTTCAGCTGTGTCGGAATGGTGAGGCAACAAACGTTCATTAAAAAGGCGTGGGTAACACTTTGGAATATCCTGTTGTCGGATAAACTGTTTATGGTAATAAGTCATTTGTAGAGGCACGATAGAGTGAATATTTGACGAAATATAATATTGACGTTTATTTTATTGCACAAATATAAGTGATATGAACCTGCTGGAAACGCTAAAGTATAATTGAGCGGTAGTTAATAAAACTGTTAGAAAATCATTTCTCAGAGCTAGAAAAATATTTATTACGAATAGCTACTAAAAGCTTAATTACATATATTTGATTTGCAAATAATTTGAAAAAGATTTCAATATTTATTAGTTTTTCTTTCGTTATTTACTTTACACGCGTTTAGTTTTCGATACATTAATATATAATTACACTTTGCTGAGTAGATTCTGCATGGTTTTGTGATTTCGCAATCGCGAAGGATACATCAGGCAGAGGTGGAAATTGGTCGAGAACCACGATAAATCTACCGGCTGGTACGATAAATTTCTTTCGCGGAAACACAAAAAGCGCATTAACGTTGCTCGGTTATGTATCCAGGCGACAAAACTGCTTATCGCGTTACTTGTCGAGAAACAGTAAAATCTGGTAATCCAAGTTCATAATTTTTAATTTAAATATTGTCTTGCAGATTAATCCCTATTTTGTTATCTAATTTACTTATTTAGTCATAATGGTGATTGATATCAACGATAACAATCTACAGCTTATAAATTTCAACACCGCGTGATTTTATGTAGTGAGTAAAGTTTCATGCAAATGTAATAACATAAACGCCATACGAACATCAAACAGAGGTAGCGGCATACATTTGTAATGTAGCCCACAGTGATATCTAAATCTTGAAATTTCAAAGAAAAAATATCCTGACGCGTGCTAATAGCACAGACTGCTAATTCGCACATAACTTACGAGCGGCACGGTCTGTCTTCTACGAGGTATCCGAGGACGAATCTCCGGCTCAAATGAATTAAACGCACGTACGCGAGACGCGCGCTACGCAGCGTTCGAATAGCCTATAAATAACACTACGAGCGAGCATATAGTGCGCCGTTAGGCCGGATTTGCAGCGAAGGCGCGGCTCCGATCGATCCGCGGCGACGGCGACGGCGACGTTTCGCATATCGATAGACCGGCGACCGATCTCGCGTGTAAATACCTTGATTAACGAGGCTCTGCCTGATCGTAATCGAGTTTCCTCGCTCGTTCCGAACTCGTTTTGAAAGCGTCGCACCCGATTCTCGAGCGCGTAATCTTATTGGCGCAAGACGTGTTTCCCGCGAGTCTCCTCGCTCATCTTCGTCCTCGCTGTTATTAGCGCGTGTTACTATTTCTCAGACCGTATATAATTGATATAAAAGCATGTTTGTAAACTAGTTTATTAAACAATGAAGAAAATCTTTTGAGTTTTGCGTATACAAGTGATCTCGCTGTACGAAATTCACTTGGACTCGTCGAAGTCGCAGAAGGGTGTAACTCTCGAAGGACCCGAGGCGCGCTAAATATAAGATTATATGACTCAACCCCGCGACCCCGCGTGTAAGCGCCAGGCGCAGAACTATATCTGCGTGTCCATCGAAAATAATTCCAGCCTTTAGGCCCGCGACGTTTCACGACTTTTCGTAGTAGGGGCTTAAGACGTTCACTACGGTGTCCAAGTCGCCGACACTCTCAGTCGAGAAAACGCGATCCTGGCCTCGCGCCAGGATCGCGACCATAGATCACCCCGCGAAGAGTGTGCAGAGTTGTGAAAAATTATCTCGAGCTCGGCACGGAGCTTCACCAACAGTCAATGACTGGCGCAAGCTACTGTAGAAATCCGCGAGGTAAATGGACGTGAATGGCATTGTTTATTTCCTCTTCTCGTCACAGATTCCAAACGGATTTCCACAATAACTTGCCAGGGAGATAATCTATATCGTCGCGTAGCAGTGATAAATATTAAAAACTGATAATATTTAGTGATAATATTTAAAAAATGATAATCCCTCAGTGTCACTTTCCTTCAGTCATTATCCATCTTTCTTTCTCCTCTTCTTTTTCACGGTCGCGTTTGAAGCGCGTGCCATTCGCGCTGCCATACAGTCTTCGCGCCACATGGTTTTCTTCTCTCTACATATCGTCCTCGTAACAACGCGTTCAGCAAACGGCACAGCGATAAATATTATAACTTGAGACTTCGTAAATACACCGCACTTTCAACGTCTTCTGAATCAAAGCCCGCCGTTTGTACTTTAAATAACGTAGAAAAAATAATTGCGTCACTTATCCGATCAATAATACGAGGATTAATGATCAGGATTCCCTTGGGCTCATAAAGATTGATACAACTCTCATTATAAAGCGTCAATTTTTTGACGAGTCACAGGATTATCGTTCGGCAAATTATAAGGAGTCATCTTACACCGCTTTACGCATATCCGATGTAGAGAGGGATGAAGTTTGGCGAGGGCCTAATCTCTCTCGCCTTACCACATCGCGCTGATCGGCTTTCGGCTCGTGCTTAAGCCGCATCCTTTTACCCCCGTTTCGGCTCGCCCCTCGGTACCCACACGAGCTTCTTTCCGTCGCGTCTCGTCGCGGTCTCGATATTTCTTTTTCAAGTTCCGAGGCAACAGGGAAACCGGGCAGATGTTCCCGGGCACCGCTTAGCTCGCCTCATTACCACGAGTCACGTTAATGAGCTTGCGAACCTTAATTCTTCACCCAGCTTCGCCGACCCTTCTCCACCTCTTTCTGCATCCCGAGATTAAACCGACCGAGACGTCGCGTGTCTGCCCGGCGATCACTGAATTATCGCCGACGAAATTTCAAAGAATTCTCATCTATTCGACAATTCCGACTGTTGGGAGTTGCACTTCTGCTACGCGATTCTGCAATGAGTTTGACGCGCACGTGTACGGAGAAAATTCAAATCATGCAATCATCCAAACAATGGCCCGTATTAATCCAGATCGCATTTGATTTAGAAACCACATACGAAAAATGACCGTAAGAGCCTAAACTTCGAAAGAAAGATCGGACATGAACGATTTTAATATAGTCGAGCGCGTCGCCGAGAAGGAACGAGCGGTGGCCATAAGAATTTCAAGAAGATCCCTGGGTTCCCGAGGCGGATGGGTCGTAGATAAAGATAGATGTGTCGGTTTCCGGCGTGTCGAGTTAACGACTCGAGTTTTATCTGTCGGTGGGGGGCTGTTTCGACGGGGACGGAAAGCCGTGGCGTGGCAATGAGTGGAAGAAGAAGAAAGTCGCGGATGAATCGCGTGCGCGAGACGGAGAGCCCGAATTTCGAGGGGACGGTAACAAAGAAGAGTGAAAATAAGAGGTACGGCAAGGCAAAAGAAAGAGGAAGGAAAAAATAATTTTTTTTCTCGCACCGCACCATATACGCGTGTCTTGAATATATGGTTTGACCTAAAAAACGATCCGAACGATTATTAATACAAATGAAAATTTTATGTCCTTTTATGTCGCTATCGTCTTAGATGAAATAACTGATTTTAATTTGAAGTACTTTTTGCAAGAAATATTTTGCTCTTACGATTTTTATATCCCACACTCTTCTTTCACCGGAGAAAATAAATCTGGCACGTCGGATATGTGTCGTCGCGGTTGCATGGATATTTTAAAAACTCGCGGACGGTGTGTGACAGACGCTTAAAGCGGTGGCTGCAAAGGGAGAAGGAGGCAAGTAGTAGAAAAGGAAGGAAGGACAGCAGCCAGAGGCAGAACCATACCTCGAGTCATCTGGCAGTCAGCAGGATTGGAAATAGACACAGCTCGCTCTTTCTCTCTCTGTCTTCCATTCCTTTCCTTCTCCGTTTCCACTATGAGAACTCTCAATCTCCGTCTCTCTTTCGGCCATTTCTCTCTCGGTGCGAAAAGAAAAAACGGGGAACACGAGTATGCCAAACCCGGCGGAGTCGACGATGTTTTCATTGTAATGGTCCCTCCTGATTCTCTCTTTCAGTCGACTTTTTTACGGGATCCACTATACTAAGCAGCCTGTCAAAGCGTTCTAATTTTTGTTCCGGCGTCGCCGCTTTATTAGAGGAAATTATTAAATCGCTGGGAAAGGATTATTCGTCGTGATCGACTCGATGCTAATATGTATTCATTATTTTGCATAAGTTGATTAATATTATTGTAATAATCTTAATTATTTAATAATTTGCCATCTTTGGTGTCTGGTTCAAAAGCGCTAGTAGCGTAAAGTGTTTTCGCATCTTTTTCTGCCGTTAGTGGCCACGAGAACGAATGCGGAATTGAGAGATTCCTCGACCTGTCAACGAGTATCGCGACAAATGTTTTAACACGTTCGACCATGCAGTGTAAGCGGGCAGCCAACAGGCAGTAATCAAAATCCGTGGACACTGAGCAAAGTCAAACAGCCGACCCGGTTGTCTTTACTCAGCAAACTCGTGGAAGCGCGGAGCCAATATTTAGACAGCGACCGACTCAAACATCGTAATCCGCCTTAAAACGTTGCGACACGCGCCAATCGTTCCCTCCGTCCTTGTTCCGCAGGATGCTATTTACTTTATCATTCGCGACGCACCGTAATCACCGCCAGCTAATTAAACCTTTATATTTGTATTGATATTAGGGCTTTTTTCCACACACAGCACTCTTCTTTCCGTTTGACCACGAGATTCGATTAGCTAAGAAATTTTCCGTTTTCTCGTGATCTCGATGAGAAGCTTTGACCTGTTTTAATTATTATTAAATGTGACGATGTTGATGGGATTTAATGCAAACACGGGCTACCTGACGTTGATCACGAATTTTCATGGATCAGGACGATGACATGTTTATGAGAAACTTTAAAAAAGAGTAAAAAGTGGTACTTCAAAGAAAAATACTTTCGTGATTATTTCTTGATGCTTGAAATTTTTCGGAGAATACAATGGACCTTTCTCGTGATTTGTATGTTTTAGCATTAAAAAAACTTATTACTGCAGATAAGTTTGTGCGCACTGATTTGTAAATATACTGGTTTATTGTAATATTTAATATGAAGGATATAAGCGCGGTTCTTAACTGTCTTGAAAGACGCAGCTCTACTCGCACGTGACTGTCGTTAGTAGAGTTTGAGTGCGGAAGAACTCGGACGTCGAGGAAGAGGATCTTTGAAGGCACCGGACACGCATCGTTTCTCGATGTTTCGAGCGTGGCGAATTGCCATCATTCAAAACGAGACGCGCCTGCCTCTTTCGCGGCGCGGTTTGTTTCCTCTCTTCTGGATCACGGTCCACCGTTCCTCGAAGCGAACGAGCGCGCGCATTGTGACGTCAGCGAGAATGACAAACAAAAACGCATTATCTTATCCCGCGAACAAAGTTATACTTTGATCATACGGCCGTGCCATTGACGGAAGACACCTGTCTCCGTCAAGAAGCGACGCGAATAGGAGCTTTGACGAAGAGACACGCGCCATTTGTCGCGTTCACGAAGTGTGTCGTAATTTCATCCGTCAAACAAGAATGCTTTTCTTTCTCACTCCTCGCTGTAAATCACAAACGTCCCGGTAGAAATACGTTTCGTTAATGAGAGGGGAGATATGCAGGGGATAGAGAACCGGCATTTACACCGTGATCTATTAGCAATTTCTGAAAATGTATTTCGTTCTTTTAATAGACGTGAACGAATTAACTTAACATTTTCGATTAACCTTACGTTCACGTTTACGCTTTTCAGATTATCCAGCTCGACGGCAATTGGAACACCCGGTAACGGCAGCGGGGGTGGCGGCGGAAGCGGCAGCGGAGGTGGTGGAGGCGGCGGTGGAGGTGGGACTGCCGGCAACGGGACTTCCGGTGGTGATTTTCTACGTAGAAGTCATCCCCTCGCGGAACATACGGCCCTACATCCCGCTTACCGGATCAACTACATGGACCACCTCTACCATCAACTCCAGGCCTCCACGCACAGTCCCAACACCTCACTACACGGTAATTATCTGACCATATATGTACACATAGGTTCAGATAGAAGCGTTCGCGAGCAGAGTACAAGAACTATCCGTTACCTCTTCTATGACAAACGACGAATCGGAAGGCCCCGTAAAGGGGACCCGCATTTCCGCCGGAAGTCTCTCCTCCAGCGTACAAAAGCGCTTCGAATCTGATTCATCGCGCGTGATCTGTGTCGTGGTAATAACGCGCTTTTACTTCCCTCTTCGAGCGACGACCGGAATGGTGTCTATTTCGCAATCCGTCGCTATGTTTTACGCGAATATTTTCTTATTTTTTTTCTTTATTTTCAGGACTGGGTGGTTTGGGGCCCGAGTACCTCTTACACGCGGCAGGTCCTGCCAGCACCCTCGCATCGTCCGAATTCCCGTTCTCCATTGATGGTAAGTCCAATAACATGTATCCTATCTTTAATGTCCACGCTGACGTGTGTACGTGTGACTGAGTTATGTGTGCCGTGCCTAGCCCCATAGGTGTAGTGGCACTACCGGCAGGTAGGAGATCGACTGGTTAAGAAGCCGAGAGGCTAAAAGACGACCGAAAGGGTAAACGGGGCCTCGTTAGCCGCCACCGCCGCATAATTGAATCGACTCGGAGCGACACGACCTCATTAACACCTTAGCGCCTACCCTACAGGTTGTCTCACATTTCCTCTTCCCGCCCTCTTTATCTTCTCTTTCTAATTCGGACTCAATCTCTTCGCTATGCCCAATTTTCACATACGTTTTCACATACTTACATCCGTGTGTTTTCAACAATCATAGTATTGTAAATCGAGCATTTGAAATTTTCTGTCTATCTTAACGTCAAAATATTTGAGCGATTAAAACGTTGAATATTAAATCCTTTGCAGTGTAGCAGAAAGGTATTTCTGCGAAATAACGATGAAAATAATTTAAATATTGATTATAATGTACTTGATAAGTGAATTTAAGATACACGAAACTAAGAGTTGAAACGATCGATCTTCAGTTCAGCACAATAAACAGAAAATTTGAAAAGCGCTGTAGTTGCCGTGGCATGCCTCGCGTAGTAGTATCGTAGGAGCCGCGCCGATCGGAGTGCACGATTGCACCAATTTACATGTCTCAATCCCATGTTCGACCTGTGCGAGGGAGCGAAGAGAGGAGTTGAAACTTATCGAGCGTGTCGGGGTCCTGGAACCCTCGCGGGGGGAAGGGTACTTTCGTAGACCGAGCGAGGGATGAACGGTAAGGAACGAAGGAGGATCCACATTCGCATATTCATTAAAGTCAGCGAGAACTGTGTGCGACGCGACGCGAACCGGATATGGTAGGGCCAACTTTTTGGTCTCGGCGGATACGATAATCGATTCCTGTTGCGAAGAAGACGACGCGAAAGAATCTGGGTATTCGATCGTCGTATGATACATTTTTTTATATGTATTTTAATCGTCAATTCGATTTGATGCATTTTTTGGAAAACGTATAACACAACGTACACAATCGTAAATGCCAGTCGAGCATTATAATACCTAGGAAACTGCGGCAACAAACTCACGTGAAAGCAAGTGTAGCAATGTGAGCCGATAAATCGTTCATTGAGCATGCATCTCACGTCATGCGGAAAAACCGCACGGCAGTTTAAGCCGTCGGTTTTCGTTCCGCCGCCACCGCCGCCGTTGACCACCGTAAATTTGATCATTGACCGAATTAATAACCGATGAAGGGGACAAAGCACAGCCCTCCGTGCAGGCCGGCGCGACGAGACAAGGAGGAGGAGAGCGGGTTTTGCAAATAAAAAAAATGAGAGGAGAAGGCGAGCAAGGGGATCTCCAACTGCGAGTAACTCTATACCCGTTGTGCGCGAACGAGCGATCAACCGAGTGGAAACCGAGGAGAAGGGTAGGCTCGCTTCTCGTGCTTGTCTTCTGTGTATCGCGTTGCTCCTTACACAGAAGAAGAAGAAGGGTAAAGAGGGAGGGGAGGGAGAGGACGAGAAGGAATAGTGGAAGAAAAAGGGGTACGAAAGCGAAGTAGAGAGCACTCGCGGCTTAATCCCGCGACGGTAGAGCAAGAAATCTGGTTGGGGGAGGACAGGAGGAGAGAAAGAGAGTGAGAGTGAGTGAGTGAGAGAGAGAGAGAGAAAGAGAGAGTTGACAGTGCCGAGAGAAGGACGAGAGAGCGTAACCGCCACCATGTAACCAACGATGGTACGTACAAGCGAGCCGCCACCACGCTCTTAAGAAAGTGGTTTGTATATTACGTCGTTACGCTGCGGTCGCAGGCAAATCGCCGCTAAAATGTTCAAGCCACAAGATCGGGCTCTCTCCTTCGGTCTTCTCGACTCTCGCTTCTCTCCCTCTCTCTCTCTCTCTCTCTCTCTCTCCGTACATTTAACGTTCTTAGTTTTTCTCCACTTTCCATCTGACTTCTTCCTACCTATGTACCCGATTACCACCTCAGCGAATGCCAAAAATGCGCGTTCCAAGGCTTCCAATGTTAGCACATGATAGTGGTAATTAAATTGTAAATTCTGTCAAGTTGTTTGACATAGGAATGGCGAGCGAGTGAGATCGAAAACGTAATTGGAGACTGGAAGTTGGAAGTTTCTATTTACAAATGTCAAGTTAAATTCATCTTTCCTTAAATTTCAGTTTCAGCATCGTCGCGACTAGGAAGTCCGCGAGCCTCAGCGATCAGGGCGAGTCGGAAAAGAGCGTTGAGCAGTTCACCGTATTCGGACAGGTTCGACATCGACAGCATGATTCGATTTAGCCCTAATAGCTTGGCGTCCATCGTCAACGGTTCACGAAGTAGTAGCGCGAGCGGAAGCTACGGACATCTCTCCGCTGGTAAGTAAAATATCCGCCTACAATTCCAATCAGTCGGATATTGAACAACTTTGGAAAATTTCTATCATAAAAGAGAGTTAATTCTTTTAATGATTATTCAAATATGCGTTGGGCATCAAGATACGACATGACTTATAAGATAGCTTATGAGACATGAATTATAGCAAATAATAAATTCTGATGACAGGATTAAAGGGTAAATGTACATTAAGGGATACATTGTCGCTCTAGCGAGCAGGTACGCTTTTGAGGAACGATCGAGGATGATAGGCGGCGACGTATTACAGTACCAGTGCACATAAAGCCATTATATAGGCGGGAACCTTCTTGCTTGCGAGTTAAGAACGCCCGGTAATTTGCGATTAAATGAAGTAATTAACGAATTAAAATTCAGACGGCGTGGCACGCCAGTCGTTTGTCGGCGTTGCATCGTCGAATACCCGCAGGATGTTCCTGCTCGTTAAATTTGCCTTCGATGCATACACCATTGTGAAATACACATCACCTGCACCGTTCTATCTTCGTCACCCTTTCCTATCCATCTCGCTTTCACCCTGTACACTTTTCAGCGATCCTAATTTACATTTGTACCATAGCTAATGGAAATTAAATTCACCAGAATTCACTGATAGTATTTCAATCGTTTATAATATTTATTCTTAATTCAACCAAAGCTATGCCGATAATTATAATGATAAAAGAATAATGTAAATATAATTTTAATATATAAATTTATAAGAAATTGCATTCGGACAAATACGAACTTATTCGAGTTACCATGTATGCACAATCTAATAGTACAGTTCCTACCTACGCACGGTTACTTTATGGTCTCGTAACAGAGGCTCGCGATTGAAATGCAAGCTTAGCCTACGTGCCGGAAGTCCGGCGTGTCGTGCTCGGACTGTCAAAAGAACGGACATGCGGTCCGATTTCGTTGTTATTCTCCTATTGCAACCATATTCGAGCGATTCGTGTAAAGCATTAAGCATCATCACTCACCAATCGCCAAATATTCGTAAATTCTCGGGTATCCTTTAAATACTTGCATCACGTAACATCTGAAAGTCTTTTTTTATTTTAAATGAATTGCTGTTGCAAAGTTATTGCATTTTTGACGTTATAACCGCGAAGCAAATATCACATTACCAAATAATCATAAGGAGAAGAAGCGTTCTCTATTAAATAATTCCTACTTCTCTGGCATATATACCAGTAATTAATCGATCTGCATTGTGTCGCAGCAATGAGTCCAGCGTTAGGCATGCATCCCAGCATGGCGCCGCACCTGCAGCAGCTACAGGCCCACATTTTGAGGAGTGCGGCCGCGGCGGCGCTTTTACCTCACACGCACTCCTTGCAGCCACCCGCACCACCGCCGCCACCGCCGCATCCTCATTCTCACCCCCATACCCACGGACTGTCCTCTCATTCGCAATTGTACCCCGGTGTGCCGCCTCATTCCACGTCGTCGGCGACGCTCAGCCCGCACGGAGTTGGAGTGCCCCCGAAAAGTGAGGTAAGTGGAAAAAAAAAACAAAAAACGAGAAGACTAAAAATGTCACCTGCCGCCGCTAACTTAAGCTCCAAAATTCGACGTTTTTCGATGCAAATAACGAATAGAGTCTCGTTAAATATACTAGTAATTAAGTCATTTTGACGGCAAGCACGGTTTAATCGGCATTAGATTCAACGAACGTATTGTGGCGCATAGACGTTAATTCCGGTCAGGAGGAGAGCGCAATATGCTCGCAATAGCGACCCGGGAGTGCCATTCGATCGTTATTGCGAATCGAGGGTACGACGATATACACTCGGTGGCCCGTCATCGATATTCATTGGGAATAAATAATCGTACTCTCGTAACCCCCTCCCCCCATCAAATGCCCGCTCGACCTTTCTTAGCTACGTCCCGTTGGCTTCGTCTAACGATGGGCGACAATGGAACGACGAAGACAGAGGAGGCGAGAGAGGGAGAGAAAAAGAGAGACGGAGAAAAAGATTGGGTTACTCTCTCGCGAGAGGGTCCTCGGGTTACAAGCAATCTCGCGCACATTATTTCGTCCGATTCCACCCCCTCCCTAACGCACCTTTATTTTCCCTCCCGCCGATCCTTTCCTCCTTCTTTTACTCAGGTCCGTCGCTTCCTCGTCTTTGTCGTTTCCTCTCTACCGCCATCGTCGCGGCGGACCCGCGCTGATTTATTTGCATCCGCGCGCTCGCCGACGTAGGCGCGGCGTTTTCATTTTCTGCCCCGCGTCCACACGCTGTAAAGTTTACCGGCGTGATTTGCATCGGTTTGCATTTTGCTTTCCATCGTCGTGTTCCGTTGTCGTCGTGCTCGTATACGCGTGTCGCGTACTTATATACGAACGGGAACTCTCGCGATCCATGTTTAGGCGATATTTTTTATGAGAGCTATATACTGTGCTGTATAGTAAGAAATTAAACAGTTTTTTATATTTATCTTAATCTTTTTGATTACCTTTCAAAATGTTCAAATGTATTCGCGTTTTCGATTTCATTAATTATGACGCGTCATTTATATTGTATATTTTAAAAACGCAGAAGCAAAGCCAAATTATCGCAAAATATTAAAGTTGTCACGTAAAAAAAAATTCTTAGGATACTAATAGCTCTCTCATGTATCATCAGTTTTTTCTACTCAGAAATATATCGTTACTAAAAACATTTTATCATGCTCTTGTTACTTTTATCTCTGCTAATACTTATTTGTAAAACTGATTAATTAACTTGAACTGAATTTCTGCTTAAATTATTACGCGTGTGGTAGCAAGAAGCAATTAGAATATTCCTAAAAATGCTTACATTAAGTGACAATGTTAAAAATGTAACATATAATTTACATTCTATTCTAATTTTTATTGATCTACTTTCGAATATAGCTTAGCCAGCGCTTGAATACTTATCGTCTATAAATCTGTATCGCAACATAGTGCAGATGTGGAGAAACCTGCACATACACACGTTTAATTAAGTATTTGGAGTTATGTCTCTATCAGAGAGAGAGTACGTAAGACCAAAAGGAGGAAAGAGTAGCAACATGAGCGATGTATGGGGGTTTGCAACAATCGACCGAATCACTGCGTTTCACAAACGTGATAATTGCAAAATTGCATGCATCGTGCGCCGATATGAATTCATGATAAATTGATATAATTACTATAATTAATGAGCGATTGGAACTTGAATGTAATTGCGTAAACTGTGTCCACTTGAAAATACTCTACTATTGAAATTACAAGCATTACATTCACGATCTCAAATTCTCCGAGCATCTGAATAATAGATAAAAGAAATATATGTGTGTGTGTATGTATTAAAATACGATATTTATTTAATTTTATCTTTATCTCACTCTTTTTCACGTATAGAGCGTAGAGTCATGTCGAAAAGCGTCGGAATCATCGACTCGCTCGGTGACGGCCGAGGCCGACACTTCCTCAAGGCGGGCCGCTACCAAAGTCAAGAGGGAACCGGCGACAACGACCACCAACGCGACCACCACTACCGCCCCACCGACTCACCCTCAAGGTCTTAGTCCTAGTGAGGATCTCAGAGACGAACCTGGTGACTTTATCGAAACGAATTGTCATTGGAGGGACTGCGGTCTCGAATTTCCTACACAGGTAATATACGGACGTGCAACGATATCTTAATCATTTATTTCTTCGTCAATAAGCGAGCGCTAAGAGCGACGCGAATAATTACAATTCCTACGCGATTTTCGGAGCATCGAGCAGAATGTTAATGGGAATAATCAATTTTACACGACGTTGAGGTATTTCTTTATAAATTATTTAAAGAGAAAGGGAAAAAGAGAGTTAAAGATATAACGATATCGTACTATCTCTATATATCTCAGCGAGAAGCCTCGGTCTTATCCACATTAATCTGGCATGCATCTCCCTTCAAACCAGGACGATCTCGTGAAACATATCAACAACGATCACATACACGCCAACAAGAAGAGCTTTGTTTGCGGTTGGGAGGAATGCTCGAGGGAGGAAAAACCCTTCAAGGCTCAGTACATGTTGGTCGTGCACATGAGAAGGCATACGGGTGAAAAACCACACAAGTGTACCGTAAGTAAAGTACTTACTTGTTTCTCCCGACCGCGAAAATTTTTTGTATTAATCAATCACAACGCGCTGTAAATGCTGGCGGAGTGACTTTAAGAAATTTCGTAAATATCGCTATTCATTATTTCAGAGCGCGTTTTATTTGACTTTTCACTGTTAGCTATTAAAAACATTTAAATAAAAATAGCAATCGATTGTAGAACTTATTGTTAGAGTATTAATTTGTTGGAGTATTTAATTGAATTAATACCCCAATTTAATTGAAGTACTAATTAATTAATTGAGTATATTTGTATAAAATAATTTTTGTAAATTTTATCCTTAGTGATAGTTTTATTTCTATAGCGATATGCTATGAAAGAGTGAAATTACGCTAAACATAATGTGATATCTGTTATTTCATGATTTAATAATAAGCACAACCTCTCTTTTATTAGATTTATGTTTGCGCTTCTTCGATAACTTTGAATAAAATTACATATAAAATACGAAACACGTCAGCATTAATGTACGCAAAAATATTACGTATTCCACAAAGAATAATTTCTCGTCAGTCGCACGCGCAAAATACATATACATGCATAAAGAATACACAAGATATAATACATGTATAGATAATATGTAAAAATAAGTAAAAATTAAATTGGTACATACAAGTGTCAAGAAAAATATTTAATTTATATGAACAACAGATTTGTATTATGTATTTCGCGTATAAACTCTAAAGATAATCTTGAAAGAATTTGTTATCATGTGGATATTTAATCTTTCTAATATAATAATTCTAAATAATTTTAAAAGGTTTTTAAAATAATTTTTTATTCCTATTTAAGTTGTTTCTATTGCTTACTTTACAAAATTTCGATAAAATGTAATTAAAGGAGAAGAGAAGTATTTTTCTCCATCTTATTCAAATTATGATTTTATACTTTGCAAAATTTTGAAGAGAATTCAAAGAGAATATTTTTTATCCCTGTTTGAATTAATTATGCATTTTACAAAATTTTTAGAAGACAAAATTAAAAAAGAAGAGAAACTCTTTTTCTATACAATTTAAATTAATTTTATACTTTGTAAATTTTCGAGAATCCGGAATTAAAAGAGAAGAGATATTGCTTTATTCTTACTTAAAGTAATTTTTCGCAAATCCACTTCTAAAAAAGGTTTCTTAAAAGACTCACCGTCGTCGACAAGCTGCGTTCATCTCGACCAATCCGTCGATGTCTGCGTACCACAATTCCATCGCGAATCGATCGTTTCTGCATTTATCCGACGCCCTCGACGTTCAATCACAGACTCGGCTCGAGTAACGCACATGCGTGTCCGTGAGCGAATTCTTCTGACGGAGACGTCGACAATTACGAGCACTGAAAATCGCGCGCGAACAGATTAATTAAGGATGTAAAGGATGATCGTCATGGCGATCGCTCGTCCATGCATTCGTCACTGCCGACTTGTTATGCGCGACGCGTTCTCGATCGAAATTCTGAGAAATCTCGACGCGTCCGTCAACGGGAGACAAGCGAGCACGGAGAAAATTTTATAGTAAATATTACTATGGTGTCGCACTAGCTGCGGACCATCGAGGGATTTTAAGTTAAATTACTATGTTTATGGTAAAAATTACGTTATTTAATCGTTTTTAAAACAATAATTATAGTATTTTAACTTGAAATTCCTCGGTGGTCCGCAGCTAGTGCGACACCATAGTAATATTTACTATAAAATTTTCTCCGTGAGATTATGCGTTTCGATTAAACACCGTCGCGACAGCTTGTCTCTCGACATCTTTTCGCGTTTTCCGAACGAGCTCTCGCTAAACGAGCAAAATATCGAAAATACGTATATTAGAAAATGGTTACCGAAACGGTGCTTCAGGTGCTGCTCCGGACACGACGCAACTCCAATCATGAAATGCTGTTAATCGAGCGGCTGCCCGAGTCGATTCGTACGACGAAAATGATCAACGCCTTTAAATTCGATGTCCTCGGCACTCATTCGTATTCGAGATTCGCCCCGGATGAATAAACGAACGCGAAAATCGGAGCGATCGCGTCGTGGGGTGCGTACCGTGAAACGCGCGCGGCGCGGTGTGAACTTATCGGCGCTTCGAAATATGGTCACGGACTGTACCGCGTACGTTGGCGCGACGCGGGAAATATGTATACGACGACGCGGCACGGTGAGAAATTATTAAGTAAATAAATATCGCTGATGATTAGATTAGGGCAAGAGATTGAATCGCGCACGATTTCGCTTTGATGAACTATTAGAAGAAACGCGTAGCTATTAATTCAATTGCTAACTAGCGATGTGAAACTGTGAGGACGCGAATACTTTTTAATATAGCATATAGCGTTCTCTAAATGCTTGTTTTCTTTTTCTCTTCGTATTCTTTTTCATTGCTTTCAATATCTACACTGGTTATCGAATAGCGTGTTCGAGAATTGTACTTAATCTGTATTTTTATATCACATAATAGTATTGCAGAGCTATGTATAAATTAAAAATTGTTTTGAATACAGTTCGAGGGTTGCTTCAAAGCCTATTCGCGACTGGAGAACCTCAAGACTCATCTCAGATCTCATACCGGCGAGAAACCGTACACCTGCGAGTATCCTGGCTGCAGCAAAGCCTTCAGCAACGCCAGCGATAGAGCAAAGCATCAAAACAGAACGCACTCCAGCGAGGTATTATCCTTTTTCTTTCTATCTGTAAAAAGAAAAAAATATATTTTTTTAAAGTTTCGAAAGACGGGTACAAGTGCTAGATAACATATTAATTTCGTGGATTAGTAGTCATCATCTGATTGTCTCTTGGCTCATGATAGGTCGAACGATCAGCAGTAATTATTGCCTGAAAATTCTACATCTATTTAATTGTCTTTTCTTGTCCAGAAACCGTACATTTGCAAAGCTCCCGGCTGTACGAAGAGGTACACGGATCCGTCGTCGTTGAGGAAGCACGTTAAGACTGTTCACGGCGCCGAGTTTTATGCGAACAAGAAGCACAAGGGCGGCAACGGTGGTGACGGCGGTGGCAGCGACGAGGCCGGCGCGGGAGGTAACAGCCCCAGCAGGAGTGAGGATTTACCTCCGAAGACACCCAGCCTCTCAAGTCCCAGCGTCAAATCCGAGAGCGAGGCGAACAGTCCGCCCGGGATCATGCAGCAGCAGGGTAGTCCGCTGGTGGGTGGTTGTAACGACGAGGTCGCGGGAATGGGCGCTCTCACCGGTGACGGAATCGCCCTCGCCGAAGAACCGTGGAACGAGGAACCCGACGACTTGGACATCGCCGATCTTCCTGTAGCGCTACGCGCCATGGTAAAGCTTTCGAGGATCGCTCGAGAAACATGTATGGATTTCGCTAGATAAGAGAAGCGTTCTAACACAGAATGAACTTTTTAAGGCTTGCCTTTTTTATGCTTATATATCTTTTGATGTTCTTCGACCTCGACTCTTGTCAAGGATGACACTGTCTCGATTATTCACAGGTCGGCGGTATGGAATCGCAGCAGCAATTGCAAGTGCCGGCACCCACGTCGAGAAATCGGCTGAAAGGAAGACTGAACGTCAAAGGCATGCCGAACATGCCGATCGGCGTAGCGAACATGCGCGGGATTCACGGTGTCGTACCTCAGGGTAATATCGGTGACCTCAATAAGAGGATTACCGATTTGAAGATGGAGGGTGGCGGCGGCCAGACACGGCAGACAAGTCTGTCGGATCTTCAACTGAGGTTGCAGCCGTTCGGTGAGCCGCGAAGGGACAGCAACAGCACCGTCAGCACTTATTACGGCAGTATGAGATCGGCGGATCTCAGTAGCCGAAGGAGCAGCCAGGCGAGTGTCGTTAGCGCCGTTAGAATGGGCCCAGGACCGGAGAGCTTCTACGATCCGATCAGTCCGGGTACGTCTAGGCGAAGCAGCCAGATGAGCACCGCTTCTAGCAGGATCGATCAGAATCATCTTCAGGGGCCTTACTCGACGAATAATCTTGTCGTTCAAACGCAAAATATGTCCCTACAGGTATGCCTCGTGCCTACGATTGTCGTATAGAAAGACAGAAAGTGATTTTTAAACTACGTAACATTTTTATGCAGAGCATTCAGGGGATGCCAAGCGACTGGAATAATCCGAGCGGTCATTGTACTCAACCGTCGAGTGACCGACGAATGTCCGAACCCATTCGTAGTAACCCGGCCCAAAGGACTTCTCCTCCGATCCCGCTCAGGCCAAGATCGGCACAGCTGCCCGAGCTTCAGCCCGAGCTTCATCCCAATCAGGAGGTGATTCTGGATGAAGTGGGCGAAGGTGAAATGGTGGAAAACAAGCTAGTTATTCCCGACGAAATGATGCAGTATTTGAATCAGGTAATCATGCTGGTGTGTTATTTAAACTATTCAGATCCGTAATATATTTCTCTCATGCTAATTTTTTTTAAAATCTCGAAATTGATATTGTCACTATAGGTTCAAGCGGGTGGAAATCAAGTCAGTTATCGCGGTAGTCCTCTACCGATCTGCCAATCGCCGATATGCACGAATCCTCTGCATTATCAGCGACAGGTGCAGCCTACGTGCAATTACAACCAATCGCATCAGTCACATCAACAGAACTGTTATTCTTCTCAGCAAGTCGTTCAACAACCCTGTCCGAACTATCAAAATCCCTCGTCTGCGTCTTACGGCCAGTGTCCGAATTCACGTACGACTCAACCTCCGTCGCAGTATTGCCCGCCGCCAAATTATGGGTCTCAAGTCACTGGCGGACAAGTGGCAAGTCCAGCCGCGGGTCAAGTCATGTCACCGAGTTCTCATTATGCCTCGGCTCACTTAAGCGATCAGCCGTTGACATCTCCCGCGGCTGGCGCGTTAGCGCCGCAGCACGCGCCGCAAAACCTGCCCCAGAACTCTGCCCAACTTTCCCGAAATTGTCCTCAGAACCACTCGCATCATGGTTACTATTCGGGTTACGGTTGCGCGGGTCAAATGAACGCGAACTGCAATGGCACCGGTGGCCCAGCCGGTCATCATTCTAATCAGACTTGCACATCATCCAATCACACCGTACAGATGCGGCTAACGAACAATTGTCAGCAATTATCGCCGCATTGCACTCAGCAGACTGCGCCCATGACCAATCCGCCAGCTATTGCTCATCCGAACGCTCAGTGCAGCCAATCCTCTGGTCAATGTACGAGGCCTATGGCAACGTCCAACAGTCAAATGCCCAACGTACACTCTGCCCAACAGTCTCCAGTGGCTAATCAGTGCGGTCCGATGTCACCCCATTGTTCTCAATTGAATCATGCGAACCAGGGGAAACCGATAAATACGCTCACGACAAATCTTCAAAGCTGTCAACAGCAGACTCAACAATCGGCCACAGCGCCCTGCCTGCAAGTCAACAACTGTATTCATCCCAGTGGTGCGCATCGGCAGGTCAACGACGGTAGCGGCGGGTCAAAGAGAACGTCACCACAACTTTGTAACGCTCAGCAGACTAACTGCAGAATGCAACAGCAGCAACAAACCTGCGCGCATAATTGTCAAACTCGCACGAATCCTCCTGCTCAGTACAACTGCAATTGCGCATGGACTTATGGAAATCAATGTTATCACGATCAACATGGTGGACCGTTGCCGGAAATACAATGCAGAGATATTAGCCAGTCGCAACAAGGCTCGCCGATAAAGCCGCCTCAAGGTATGCGACAAGACTCCTACCGCAGAACATTGGAGTACGTCCAGCAATGTAGGAACTGGTCCGTCAACGCTCAAACCCACGAGACCAACGTCTCCAGCTCGACGCATCCTTTGTCGTTGCCGCAACCTTTGCCAGCTAGCGCCAATATGGTTGTCAATGATATGACATCTTCGCTTAGCTCTTTACTAGAAGAAAATAGATATTTACAAATGATTCAATGACCCCATGTCTATTAACGAGAAGCATCAATTAGTTTTATCGATCGATGAAACAGTCGCGCTTAAACAGTTTTCCACTTGATTATTACATTAATAACATATAATCTTTAATATATAATTTGAATGAAATTAAAATATTAAAATTATTAGACACAAAAGATCCAGTCCGATCTTGTATTGGCATTTCTTATTTACTTGATTATCATCATAATCGGTACATGACTCTCTTAATATAAAATATTAAATATGAAACATTTAGCAAAATTTATGACGCTGATGATAGCTTCATGTAGATGCGGTCGATTCATAATTTGCAGATTTTGACACCTCATATGTCTTTATCTCATATATTTAAAGATTGTGAATGAGAATCCGAAGTAATTCGTTTTGAGAACAATAAATTAATACATTTGATAAAATTTAAAATAGAGCGTGGCTTTGTATAGAAACGGTTGATTCGTAATTAATAGATTCCTGGGTTCAGTCTTGACTCTTATCCGATATATGTTTCAGTTTATAAAAGGTTTGTTAAAGATTTAAGTTTTGAGTAAAGTATGAAGTGATTGTAAATTGTAACACGTTTTCGTGTTACTAATGCATGTATTTGGCGAAGTTTAGTATATACCGTGATAAAAAATATTGAAAGATATAACTAAATAAAATCAATTTTAAATTTGATTTGAGTGATCTACTCTAGTGATGGGATTTAGTTGTAATTTTTGGCCCGATTTTTAACAATTATTATTTTTCTTTTACCATTTGTATCTTACAATTAGCGACGAGTTACTAGACGTAACTAAAATGCATAACATTCTGTTTTAGGAATGAACGTATTATAAGTTGGGTAGGATTATACTCTTCCGCAGGTTAATAAGACCCTCTTTGATATTTTTTTTTAGAGAATTTAATTTTAAATATAAATATAATAAAAATTATAGATACAAGGAGAGATTTAGATAAAAAATCAAGAAGTAAAAGCATTAATCATGATGAAGGGAAAAAGTTTATATCCAAATCGGAATGGCAGATAGAGCTATTTTATATATTGGAAATAAGAAAAATATTGCAATATAAATAAATTCAATGATAAATTCTCACTCTTATATAAATATTAAAAGATTAAATCGCTAACTTCGCTGCAGTTCGTATATCAAGATTTTGTGTTGCTAATCGAAGCTGATACGGTCATAATCTAATGGGGATTTAATGGAGACACAGAAGCATTCAACATGCGAGCAGACAATGCTTATGTCTTTATTTTATTTGCATAGATTTCACTCTTCATTTCATTCCAAATAAAAATCCAATAGAGCGAAGTCGAAAGACTTCAGTGGAGTGAGTGAGAATCTTGCTTCAACTCGTTCTATCTCAGAAACTATTCCGAATTGGAATCATGTTTATATGAACTTTCTTTTACTAGGATTATGATTATCATTTTTCGTATTAATCTCTCCTGCTGAATCACCTTAAATACAGCACGTTGAAAAATGATGTAAACACATTCGGGGGAGACCAGGGGAACAAGATCATTTTCCAGCATCCTATATAATTATTTATACCTATATTTATGATAACATTATAAAATATATTATAATAATTATAATATTATAATTTTAATATATAATTATAATTGTAAAAAAAAAAAACTTTTGGATGAAGACCTTAAGAGCACTTACAACTATTTGTTAGAAAAACGATTCCAAAATAAGAAAGATACAGATCCTATTGTATTTATCTATATATATTCACTAAATCCCACCACTGATCTATTCAGCAAAAATCGACACTGTTTTTAAACAGCAAGATTAGTTTTATAACGTTAATATGGTTGATGTGGTCGTTACGTTGATAAAAATTTTAGAGTCGCGATGCAAGAATACAAAGTGCCTTAATCTTAAATAACGCGCATTTGAAAAGTGCCACAGTGTAAGTTATTACATTTGAAAATATCGATTCACGACATTAAGTACCTCGAAAATTCCGCTCATAGTAACTTAGAATTTTAGATATTAGATAATAAAGATATTCCGTATTTTGTCTACGGATAAAATAAAGTATATGTCTCCCTTTTTTGATAATAAAGACAAAATATATCAATCTTGCAACATATAATTAATAAATCTTTAGTGTATGACAAATACGGGATATTTTTTGAAAAAACCTATGTACTTTAAATTATTGTAAATATATTTTTGTAATATTATATATACATATATATACTTTTTGTACATCAATTTCGTTATGCGACGAGCGTGCCAACATAGCATTATCTTATCTATAATTAAGCTCAGTAAGATGTAGTATACATCGCCGTACAGTGTGATAAAAAAGAGAGAAATGAAGTCCATAAATAATCATTAGTTTACAAATGATAAAAATAACAAGACTTTGGATGCAAAAATCGGATTAATCTTAATAAAGGTCTGTAAGAAGCCAATTATAAAATAGAAACTGTAGATAAAATTTAGAGATAAGTACAACTAACAAAGAATGAAGATGAATATAAACATGGGGGTATATGCGCGTATTTCTAAAGTCTTTCGCCAATTATATATTTTGGAAACTTCAGAGAACAAATATTATAACACACATTTATCTTAACTTTTTAACATGTAACAATTTTGGAAGTATTTTAAATGCCTATAATAAATATTGAAATACAATGACAAAGGCGATAAATAATGAAGGATGAACGTTTAGAACTCAAAATGATAATACAAACACCAATATATGCACCTAATGCTGTTTTTGTTATACAAATGGTTTTTATATAAACTTTATTGAATTATGATCATAAAAATGTGAATTATTTTGTGAATATTATATATATTTACTACATATTATATGCTAATAAAACATGTATGATAGCCTATTGGGAGGAAGATACTAGAATGGAGTCTTATAAAAGTGCCTATTGCATTTGCAAAATTGTTAATTATTTCGAGAATAAATCATATCAAATCCAAAATCATGATTTGTTTATTACAATATCCTTTGCGCTTACTCACATATACGAAAAACACATACTTAGTACATTGTATTGATTAAAGTAACATCATTATTTCTAGAAATAATAATGTTGATAAAAGAGTATAAATCATTTTATATGTTAAAATTTATAACGTAAGAAATAAATAGACATTTATGATTGACAACAAAATAATTTTTATTCTATAATTTATTCTCTTTACAATAATGTAATTAGAAATTGTGGTACATAAAATTTATTATTTTTTATTAAATCTACATTATAATAATCTATACTAATCGAAACGTACCTCTCTCCGTCATTATCGCGTAGAATAGATGACAATAAAATAAGACAAGGATGCGTTTGCTAGCTACAAAAGACATTAATTTTGTTTCTTAATAATTATCTTAAAGTATAACACATTCAACATATTATAGCATAAAATATTTTATATTATACCGTAGCAAAAAACGGTAAGGACGCTACAAACAATCCACCAAACTTCAGACTAAAAGACTTGTTGCCTCTTAGCAATAGAAATAATATGAAGTTTTGTATGTATAGAGGAGTTATGTACCACTGAACTTCGTATCTACATATATAATAATAATATGAAGATCTAATAATTTGAGGAAGAAAGATACTTATATGACTTTCACAGCATACGTATATTTACTGTATGTATTATATTAACTACAGTATTGTATTAACTTCCACGTTGGATAGCAGAGTTTGTAAAACAATATCTGTATAATGTAATAAACTACGATATTTCTTACGCAGTGGCAAATATGAGATCATAATGATCTGTAATTTCTTGTCCGATGAAGTTGGCTAAGAACATGTATATAAAAGAAATACTTGTTGATATAAAAGTTATTGGAAGTTCCTCAGTATTATATGTGGATGATGATAAAATCTGAAAAAGCTAATGTACGAGTTTTAGTGCAAAAATCAACTTGTAAATCACAATTTGAATTAGATTCTTTACAATCTATTACAAAATTACTATAGAAATTTTAACTACAACTTATCGTTTAGATGAAACTGTATTACATTGTAATGACAAATTCTTTCAATCAATTTAATATCAGCTGTCGTTTTAATAAATAATATTAAAAAAAATTTAATAAATAGTAATAAAAAATATAAATAAAATATTTATGTCAAGGCTACTGTGTTTATAACTAATCTAAATTAGCAACGTTTTATGAATTAAATGTTTGGCATAATCCGATTTTTATCATAAAATGTTTTTACATTTAGTATTTAAAATTCGGATTATTAAAAAAACCTGGATAAGGATTTAAAATTTAGATTCAAAAGATAGCCACCGAATGCTATACCGAATAACATAAAAGAATTTAAATTGAAAAACTTTTTCTACAAACTTCAATCTAAAATTTGTAATTTGTTAAAACAATGTTACTGAAAATATGCAATTTAAATTATTAATATAAATTATAAAACAACACAGGAATGTTACACAATCCATTAAATGTAAATTTACAAGCGAAACGAAACTTACTCGAAAAGTATTAAGGCTCAAAATAATTACACTGAGTACTATTAAAAATATGAAACATATCTCAAATCTAGACATTAGATAGTCGGAA